ACTCACGGATTTCGGTACAAAAAAGACCTCAGAATGACGTCAAAATCCGTGAAAGTTTTTAATCCTTTAATAATAGTCAGTTGTGTTTTAGTTTAATTTGTAAAGTATATCAATGTAGATAGAAAAAAGTAAATGTTGATAAGATAGCGAGAGTCACAAAGCACTACATCGGGACCCCCACCCCCATATACACACACACCGGCCGGAGGGTTCAAAGGGAAAGTACGCACCGGTCCTGCTCGTATGTCTCTTTGGACTGAAACTCCATTTTCCGATTAATGGTAACATTATTTTAAAATTTCATTCGAGATATCCTGAAGATTTAGTAATGTCTGAAGATATATTGAAAATCAAATTATTTCCTTAAATCTTCTCAAATGCTTGTAAAATTTTACCTTCATGACTGAAAAAAAATTTTGTAAACAGAATATAAGGGCGATAACTACTCAGAAATAATAAAAGTTATCTCCCTTGTGTTTGACTGGAGCTTTTCCCAAATGATTTTAGTATTCTACTTTTAGATTTTATTTATTTATTTATTGAGCATTTATTTATGCATGCAAAGAAAATAGAACGTGTGTTTCTTAATTATCACTGTTTATCTACGAAATTCGCCATTTATTAATGAAATCTTTTTGTAATTAAATACATGCCTAAGAACAATTGCATCCTTGTATGTGTTTCTATAATAAATATACATTTTTCATTGAAGATGGCTGACAAGGCAATGCAATTACCCCTTTTATTATATTTTTCCTGTATATTTTTATATATTTCTTTTTTGGACATAGAGTGTGTAATATTTCTACTGCTATATAAAAAATCTAGTTAATTGTACAAACAAAAAAACAGATTAATCAAAAGCACTCAGACCAAAAGAACATTTGGAGAGTTCTTACCTACTCTATGAAATCCTTTGTATGCATGCAACAGAAATATAATGAAATACTTCTCAGTTATCTTCAAGTAAACCTATATATATATATGAGTATAGATCAAATATGGATTAGAATCAAACAGAATATGATAAAGAACAAAAAACAGGAAACTTTTATCAATCTCTCTCACTTTTATTAAAGCATTATCAGAGATGGAGATATGGAGAAGAAGAAGAAGACTACTACTACTACTACTACTACCACCACCACCACCACCACCAAACTTTCTTTTTTTCTTTTTCTCAATATCTCATTCTCTGAAAAGTCTTACCAATATCTTGGTTTGTTTTATGGCATATCAACCTCAATGGGTTATTTAATGTCAACAAAAATGTTATTGCTGGTAACATTTTTCTCTTCAAAAACCCTATTTCTGATAATATTTTTTCTGCAGAAATGTATAGCTGGTAATATCTTTTTTTTTTCAAAAATATATTGCTGGTAATAATTTCTTTTACAAAGTATTTTTGGTATTAAAAACTATTTTTAGAATTTCTTAGTGTTTTGACCCCTGTTTGGGGGTTAACTATTTGCCCATAGCTGGGACCCTAACAATTGTTACCGCCCCAGGTCAGAGTAGACCTGGGAACACCAGCAATTAAGAGGTGGTTCCACACTCTTCAAAACCTCTTAATCAGAGGCCTTGCTGTTGTATGTAGTTTATTGTCTTACCCAGGACAGCCAATATCTTGGTAAAACTTTATGTTGATATAAGTGACATATCATATGTGTTTCAGCTTGCAATATTTATCTGTATTAAAAATTAATAACTTGTCAAATTTTACTGATTTTCTAAGCATAGCCTAGAGGTGGCACAAGGCTGAATGCATGGGGGGTACCCAGTAAGGATCGAACTCACTACTCAGTCTTAATTGTTCTAGTGAGATAAACTTGCCAACCATCACACCACATCAAGGTGCCCAACTTGTTAGATTTTATGAAGTAAATAAATTGTAACATAAATTTTTATTTAGAATAGAAATAAATCCCAAAATGTGGGCCACAACCATTACATTCACTTAGATGCTAATACCCTTGGGAAATGTATGAATCCTCTACTTCTCCTCCCAGCTATGGGACAGACTGAGTTCTATAGCCTTGGATGGCAACTAGTCTACTACAGAAAAAAATGGCAATCTACTGCGGGAAAATATCTGCCTCATCAGTCATAATAAAATTTCACATGATCAAATAACCTATTGTAAACATTTCTAATCAAAACACTTGATACGAGCTGAAATTCACATAGTATGTTTATGATACATTCACTTACATGCTAATACCCTTGGAAAAGGTATGAATCCATCTGTTCTAAAGCTATAGGCAAATAGCAGGACAGACTGAATTATAGCCTTGGGTGGCAACTTTCCTAGGAGAAGAAAAACTCCTCTGAATTCAAAGCTGCATGTAGCCCTGGTAAAGCACATACTACGCAGCTAAGGAAAGGATCGTTCACATAGACTCAATGATCCCGACTACGATCAGCTCCTTTTTTTATAAGTATATCTGAAATATTTATTAGCATCATTTATTTTATTTAGTTTATATCAATTTATTGTAAAAATATTGTCTTACATGATAAAATCTGACATTATGTAGACAGATAGTGTTGTAACTAGGAAGGTTACTGAATAGAATAATCACATGAATGTTTGTAATGAACAATAATACTTAAGACACGAACAACACATATAAGACTTGCAATTGGCAAGTAGAAGAAATAGTCAACTGCTAAAAGTAAGTCATGCGAATTCCACAATGAATATCCGACTGCAGACCAACACATACATTATTCACTACTGTATTTATGGGAATGGGGGCATACCCATTATTGTCCATAGGTATGCTACAACAGATATTAAATAGATAATATTCTTTTTCAAATAATTTCATCCCAAACAAGGCTGTAAAGCCACTAAGATACAAGGAGTTACTGAGTATGAAAAAATAAGAAAAAGTGGAACATTATTAAGGAGAGAGAACAATGAAAGAAGAGGAATAAAGAAGACAGTTTGCTATTGCATTTAAATTATTGAAAATGAAAGTTGGCTGGAAAATATGAAGCCAGAAGAGAGTATCAAAAGTGAGAAGTGCAAGTAAAGAAATTCTTAGCATAGAACTTACGGTTGCATCTAGCCAATTCAAGTGTAAATTGATAAAAACTTTTTGCCAATCTAGGTTTGCACTTAGATTCATAAAGTTTAAGTACCATAGTGGAAAATTCCTCAAAACAATTACCATGAAAGTATTTATAGAAAGTCACAAGGAAGCTAAGTTATGGCAGTGGGAAAGTGACTGAAGCCGGGATGCCAGGTCAGGACCAATAACATTGTAGATTCTTCTTTGAATTTTATCAAGAATCTCTAAATATATAGCAGGAGCACATGACTATACATGGCATTAATATTCAAAGCATGGATGAATGGTAGATTTATAAATATGTAAGGTAGATTCTGGAGAGAAAATTGTCTAGCATGATGCAGTGAACCAACTTCCCTAGCAGCCAACTTAGCAATTGATTCAATAAAATATAATCTTTCCACATCACGTCAGCAGAGAATGTTAGCCTGAGAAGGTGCAATGAGTCACTCTCCTGAATGTTAGCATCAGTCATGCTGACTGCAGGCAGAAAGGGATCTCTCATATGATTAATAGAGAGAAATTTAATTTTGGAGGCATTAAAATTAACATGATATTCCTTGCTCCAGTAAACAACAGATTGTAGGTCAGTTTTGAGATCAGCTGTCAATTTGACCTTATCAAACCAATCATGAAACAGGAATAAATAGTTGTGTCATCGCCATAGATACTGAGTTGAGAACTGATGCCATTGGAAAGGTCATTTTTGAAAATTAGGAACAAAGTAGGCCCAAGGATCTAACCCTGGGGGACATCTGCATTCATACAAGATCTAGGAGAATAGCTGTTTAGGACAAGTTTCATTTTGCAATTTGACAACAAACACTGAATTAGTTCAAAAATCCACCTAGAAATACTATAATCTTTCAACTTATGAAATAGACCAGTATGCCAAACCCTAATGTATCGACACCTCGTCACGTGTCACAGCTGTTAAGACCCGCTGTCTCTTTTTTTAAAGTACACTTTTCAGCGCATAAAGTAAGTAATGTTTTCTTTCAAAATATATTAAATAAACATTTAAATTTTAAATTTTGTAAAGATAAATTTTTTAAAATGTGTAACTGTTTTTTGGCAGAATTTTAAACGGAAAAAATAACTTTTGTTTATAAAATTGAAAAAAATGGCTGACGATCGATTTTTCCGAAGAAAAAAAAACATGATTTTTAAACGATAATTTTGGACGTGCTCAAAATGATAAAAAAATTTTTAAAAATAATCAAAAAATACTTTGATCTTTCCTCTTTAAACAGTTAGACAAATAAAAATTATTTTCGTCAAGTTTAAGGCCTTTATTATCCTGCTATTTATTGGTGATACCTAGTATAATGTTGCATAAGGGCTTTTTAAATAAATCTGCCGCATTTTTCTAAAATATATCAAAAATCATTTTCAGATACCCGTTCAAGCAATCTGGAAATTTTTCCTCTAATCGGCAACTCTCGTGTCACAAACGAGGTAAACTCAAACTAATGGAATTCAAAGATTTGGCAGGTGTGGGCTAGCGATCCAGTCTCGTTGAACATGACTGAGGGTATTTTTCAGTGCGCCCATTTCGCTACCGAATGTGATACAAAGTCAGTAAAAGTAGGTTTCGGCAATAATACCGAAGAAATTTTTCTCAAGTCCCTCGGCATTTCACCTTTTTGTGAACGCCGGGTAATGACCCCAGCCCCCTCCCAAAGGAGAGGTACTGCCTCACCCATATTTTGAGATCTTGCTCCAGACTAAGTTGAATAAACAATAACTAATCTCCACCCTCAAATCATCTTATCGTTATGAAGTAACAAAAAAAACTGTAACACCGTTTTTTTTTCAACATTCTAATTTCCTGGACGGTGTAGAACTAAATTGTCTCCAGAAAAATAAGTCAAGGAACTCTTCTTATTTAGGAGACACAATTGCTCTCTCTGCTTAAAAAACATGGAGGGCACTCCTGGCTTAGAATTATTATTTTGCAGTGCAAAGGCACAATTTAAATCCAAACACGATGCGACTATCTGTCTTCTCCACTGGAATTTTATCGTCAATGGTTTCAAGTGTACTGGAATCGGAGAAGAGGTTAGACATGTTAGTTAATTGTTACTATAAAACAGTTGAGTCATTGTTACTTGATGTCTCGTGCTGCGTTGACAATGACATTTAACAATTATTACACAAACAAAAACACGTATTGGTGTGACACGCACATAAAGCAAGATGAATGTATCGTACAAAAATAATGTGTTTTAAATTATTTGGTAGAGATTATTTTTTTAAGATATTTGAATCTTGTATGTTTCAAACAAATGGCGCACTTGTTTTTTTAACGACACAACCAATCCGACCACACTAGTATGGGTAAAACTGTATCGTAAAAAAAAAAAAAAATTTTTTTAAATTTTTTTTCTATTAATCTGAGATAAATAATATATGCAATATTTAGAAAGAAGGAACCACGTTATAACGAACTTGAGGAAAGATTAGGGAATAGTTCCACAACTTATGAAAGCTGAGTAAACAACGCAAAAGAAAATTTGCTTGACATTAATTCATTTATTTGTAAATATTTTTACTTTCATTTTTACTGACCTTTTTCAGAATGAATGTCTGTTTTGTTTGTCCGATTTAAACTATTTGCTTTGCACCTTTATTTCTTCTGTAAATAGTTTTTTGTACTTTTATTTTGGAACTTTTGAAACTACTGAATATATATAATTTTTTTTTTTTTTTTTAGCTGTCATCACATATTGCGTACTTACTGTTGTTTATTTCTTTAGATTTAAAGAAAGTCTACTGAAGTAATACATTTTGGGTTTTTTTGTGGAGGGTGTAAAATTTAGGCCCTTTTAGTTTTATCCTTACTAATACAACGTTACGCCTTTTATAAGGTATCGAAGGTAATGTTATTTCAAAAACAAGTATCTGTTCAAAAGTGTTCAACGACATTGACTCAGTGGTCACTTTAAAAAAAAGCTTTTCATTTTAAAAATAAGAACAAAACATTTCTGATTTTCTTGCTATTTTTTAAATTAGAAAACAAAAAGTAATTAAATTAACTTTTTTTGTCCATGTAGCGAAAATTTAACTTGTATTTAAAAAAAAAAAAATCACTGACAGTTAGGAAATATAAATAACTTTTTTATTAAAGTTTCAATCAAAAATCATTTAAAAATAAAAAATAAAAAAATAAAATTATAACTTGATTTAATTGATTGGACCTGGGACCAGAATTAAATTTGTTTCAGAATTAAATTTTTTTTTTTTTTTAAAATAATTCATGTGAGTTTGGAAAATTAACAAAAATCTTGCAAATAATACGGTTTTTCATTAAAACCTAAAAATAATTATAATTACAGCTCAGCAAGATCATTTCCTTCTGCAAAAACTAATTTTTAATTTTTGTCTAATAAGCAAAAAAAATTGGTATTTTTTGTTTCATCTTGCTGATCTGTAATGCGTTGTTTCAAGTACGAAATTTTATCGTATATTCTATTCAGTTAAAAATAAAATTACATGTACGAACAATTGATCTCAATATTGTTGGGGGGTTTTTTTTTTTTTTTTACATCCTACACATTAACAATGACGATCTTGAGAACGCTTCCCATTTTAAAACGTTTTTAAAAAAAATTATTTCCTAATGTGGTACATAAGTGGAAAAGAGACGAAAATGTATTATCTTTCAGCAGTAACGCAAATGACAAACTGGATTAGGACCTAATCATTAGGTTGTTATTAAATTTTAAGTAAAGTATCCCATTCTTTTTGAAGCGACAAAAATTAAACTTGAATTACTTTTTTTACTGTGTACTGTAGTTTTATGCAAAGTTTTGCGTTCACGTCTCTCCCGCCGTCCCACATTATTTCCACGAAAACTCTAAAAAAAAAAAAAAAAATCCGCATACCGTGATGAAAACCTGCTCCAGACGTAATGAAAACACTTTTTTTTATGCTAAAAGTCACTTTTATCGTCAGACAAAATCTTTATTATTAAGAGGAAGGATCAAAGTATTTTTTGATTTAATTCTTTTTTTTTTGGAACATTCGAAATTTTGATTTTTAAAAAAAAAAAGCTTGTTTTTCATATGTCAGCGCTTGTGCTAACTTTGAACAGAGCAAATTTTGGCCTCTTTTTTTTTTTGCGATGACAAACACGCGTTAATTTGCAAATTCTTGAAAAAAATCAAATAATTATCTGATTTTAATCAATGACATCTTCAGGACTTATTCAGAAATGGATGAAATTATTTTTAAATTTTCTTATTAGAAAATCTTGGTATTTTTTTTTTTTTTTTTTTTTTTATGAAATCGGACTCGGCCTTACCGAAAATTTGTTCTGAATCGAAAAATGCAATAAAGACTAAAAACAATATTTAATTATAGAAGCTTTTAATTCCTTTTATGAATATATATATATATATATATATATATATATATATATATATGTGTGTGTGTTAAGAACATTATCTGAAGAAAAAATTTCAATGAAAAATGAATTTTTTTTTACTAAATTTTTTTTTTTTTTTTTTTTTACAATTTTAAATGGAATAATTTATAAAGTTTTAAATCTTAAAATTCGTTTTCAATGTGATAATTCTTAGAAAATATTGTTACAAAGTAAAATTACTAATCATATATTGTAAAGCTTATTACAATCTGACGACTCAAAATAACTTTTTTTAAATTCAATTTGTTTTTGTATGTGTGCAGAATTTCTGAAGTACTACAAACTGATAAATCTAGCATTTAAAATTTGTGTGATTTAAGGGTTGTCTCCCTTTAATGGCGAAAAAAAGACTCCACCATACTTATCTATGAATACGTTCAGCTGTTATCAACTGTCAAAAAATCAACACGTCTGAAAAACAAAACTCCGTAGATAAGAAATGTTTCTATACAACATTTTATGCTATAAGTAATATTTGTTTCAAATCCGATTATTTTAACTTTAAATTTGCTAATTTTCTTCAAATATTGTTTCAGAAATATTTTACTTTTGCAATATTTTTTAAAGCCACAAATTAACTTTCGTTTACAAATCTGTCAAAAATGGCCGTTTTGATCGATTTTACTGAAAAAAATCGATTCTGATCAATATAATTTCACTTTAAAATATACCATTTTGTGTGTATGTTGTTTTTTTGCAAATATTTGCTGATATTTGTGTTTATGTATATTCCTTTGTGAGCTTGGTGGTTTTTTTTATTTTTATTTTTTTTTTTTTTTGGTTAATGTTGTGTTATCTAGTTGTTCCTTTTTTTTCTTTTTGTCATCTGTTTTTTTTTTTTTTTTTTTTTTTTTTTGGTTGTGATTAAGTATTTATACATGTGTGTTCATGTGTATTATGTAGTAGGCTTGTTTTTGTAGTGGGGTTGTGCTTTGTGTTGTGTTTATTTGTTTGTGTTGGTATTTAAGTAACAAAGTATTTATTTGAATGTCTACATTTCCCTATTTATTTTGTTATATATACAAGTGTGTGTATGTGAGAGATGAAATGGCTGATATGTTTTAACTTAGAGGAACGTTAGTTGGTTCCAAGTCATATGCTCTAGTTCAGTGGAAGAAATGGACCAGTAACACAAGGGTTAATAAGACTGATGACTATTAATCAATACAACATATTCCCTAGACAAGGAAAGTATCTCTGGGGATTGAAATAAAGGGTTTTGTTCAATGGTTACTGGATAAGACAACACACATACCAGAGGGTATGACATCTGAAATGTTGCAAATCTAACAACCAAAATGAGCAGGCTCGTCTGAATAGTAAAGTGTATCAGATTATCTTGCAGAAATGTTATTTAGCAAAGTTCCACTTTGAGAAATTTGAAGAAAAAAAAAAGATTAATTTAAAATTTTTTTTTTTTTTTTTTTTTTTTTTTTTTTTTTTTTAAATAAATTTCTTTTTTGCCTGATAATAAATATCTATTTTTATTGCTTATTTTCAGCCAGGAGCAGATTCTGGTGTTGAGTCTGAACTTTTACCTGAAGGATGGAATCAGTCATCAGAACTCTACACACTTCGTTACCAGTCATCGTCGTCAAAATTACCTTCTGACAAAAATGAACGCTATCTTTTAAAAGCAGTTGTGACTGACAACACCATGATTGTGAACGTGATGGTAAGAACAGTAGAATTTAGTCCTATTAATTTATCCCGATTATCGCCCTTGGATAATTTGTGCAACCCTACAGTTGTTGAACACCTAGTGAAGACTGAACATACTAGCAATGGCTTCGATGACATAGCTACTAACCATCGCAATACTGGAGGTGCAGGCTAACATAATAGTTACAAATATGAGAAATGTTCTAAAATCTGCCAATCTAACCATTACTACTGAGTAGTGTGTTTGATCCTCACTAGGTGCACCATACAAAATTCAACATTAAATAACCCAACCAAGGTTGACATATTGTAAAATCCAACAACCTAACTTATTTAAACCAAAACTGCTGTTATTTACTCAGTCCTAATTCCCTTGGGAAATGCATTGATCTCCATTCCTATCCTCATCTATCTTGACATAACTTTCATGTTGCTGTGATTGATAGAGAAGAATAGGTGAATAAATACATGGGTAAACTAATTTCCTCACTAAACAGGCAGTAGTAGTAGTAATAAAAAGAAAACTGTTAATCATTTTTCACTTTAACAGCAGTCCTGATCACTTAAGTTCTGAAGGGATATGGCACAAAAAAAATACTTGGTACAAAATTATGCTAAACCTGCCTGTTGGTCTAGATTTCATCAACCAATACTGTGAAAAAAAATGTCTGCTACGTGGAGATTCTTGACAAAATCTAAAGAAGAATTTGCCATTTTATTGGTTCTGACCTAACATCTCAGCTTTTCCACCACTATAACATAGCTTCCCTGGGTTATTTCTATAAATATTTTCATGGCAATTGTTCTGATGAGCTTTCCACTTTGATAACTTGACTTTATGCATAGTACTAGATTGGCAGCTAGGTCTCATCATTTTACTGAAATTGCTAAATGTAACCCTTAGTTCTATTCTAATAATTCTTGCATTTTTCAACTTTGTTTCAGCTTTTTGCCTTCCTGCCAACTACGATCTTCAAAAACTTAAATGAGTCAATCATCATCTGTCTCCTGTTCTTTAATTGTCCTCCCTCCTCAATTTTTCTTTTACTCTCAGTTATCCCTTGTGTCTTAGTGGCTATATTACTTTGCTTAGGATGAAATGATTTTTTTTAAAAAGTGCTTTTAAATTTTAAACCAACAGATTAATGAAAACTTATATGCTAATTGAAATCTATACATTATTGTCTTCAACTAAGATATGAAATCCTCAGGTTCCTAAAAAAATTGACACATTCACAACTTTATATATGATATATCATATTAGATTGTTAAAGAGAACCAGACCAACATGAAAAGACTTTGACTCTCGTGTGTCTGGTGCAGGTAAGAATTTTTGGCAATGTTTAACCTTCATGCTCACAAAATTGGTGCATCAAAAGGACAGTTATTCCCTTGACGCCGCTATTACTGTATACACTTTTGACTCACTTGGCAATGTTTATTTACAAAATTATAAGATGTGTGAACCAAGTGCAATACAATGTTTATTATTTAATATTTTATAAAGAAATAAATTTGAAAAGAAATCCTTTTTTATTCAAAAATTTATAAAAAAAAAAAAAAATTACAAAATTATCAAAATATGTAAACCATCTCCAATGCAATATTTATTATTTATCATTTTATAAATAACTATGAAAGCAATGTATTATTGCTATAAAGTCTAAAATTAAAAGAATGTTTCTTCAGAGGGAAGAGATGCTCTCAAACTATTTTTAGCGAATTTATGTGGTGAGAACAAATGAAAGAAACACCCAGAAAATGCACTTTTTCAAATTTTTATAATCACTGTTACTCCTCATTACGTATTTTCTTATAAATTTATGAATAAAAAAATTTATTTTCATATTTATTTCTTTATAAAATAGTAAATAATAAATATTTTATTATAGTTGCTTACATATTTTTTATGATCTTGTAAATATAAAATCATTCTTGTAAATGAGCAATCAAATAAATAAATACTGTTGAATCCAGGTAATGCTTTTCCTTATTAAACAGCAAATGAAGGACATAATCGAGACCATCAAGAAGAGTAAATATAGATAGACTGGACATGTCTCTCATCTCAGAGATGACAGGTTGACTATTAAAGTGACAGCTTGTACATTTAAGCAGAGAAGAAATAGAGGGAGAACAAGAAAATGTATAAATCCACTTTTATATGTTTACGTTTTATTCTAATCATCATTTTTAAAACAATAAATATTGCCTAGGAAGTCAAATGTCAAAGGAATAACCGTCTTTTTGACACACTATTTTTTGTTTTTTGCATGAGGATGATATGTGGTTGCAGCTACAGGTACATAAGACTAATGTTTGTCAGTGTAGGAAGACTTTTGAAGCTGACTGTTGGGAGAGCACTTGTTCAATTTTTGACAATCTTTATATAGATAAATGTATTTAAATTATGTGCTTCTGTCATTCTCGGCCAAAATTTCATGTTTTTTATCTTTCTAGTGTAATTGAAATCTCTGTCACTTTAAGATTTTTAAATGTTTCGATAAAGATGCCTTCTGAAAATTTTAGATAAATCGTTCCTGACTTTCTTTGTTAATACTTCAATGTTTCAGTCAATCCATTATATAGGATTGACTGCTTACTGCAGGTCTTCTTCTGTCAAGTTGGTGAGGAATTTTTAAGAGACGTGTTAAGTCATCCCCCAACAAGATCAAAAAAATGATGCTGAAGTACTCTATCAAAGCTAGAAAGTAAAGATTGTGCATCTCCAGCTCGGATATTGCAGCAAAATCCTATTTTTGGACTAATCTGACTCTAGAAAAGATAAAGCATGGAAGGAGGAGGAGAAAGGTACTTTCTGGAACAATACTGTGGGCTGACTGTTTTTCCAGCTTCTTCACCAATGGATCATATATACGAATTCCACTTGAGCTCTGGGGTGAACATAAGATCCAGTTAGGCATTCAAAGCGAGGAGCCTTATTGAGAGCAATTGTTCAGCCTTTTTTTTTTTTTTTTTTTTTTTTTGACAGACTTAGGCGTGAAGTATGAATAAAAGTAGTAAGATTGACTTTAAGAACTTATAGTGCCTTCTTAGCCAAGCTTGTTATGACATAGTAAATTCCAGTAATATGAAGTTAGTTTCAAGGCTGCTTCTTTCTGTCAAATTCCTGTAATTTGAAAGAACATTGGCTGTAAAATATTGTGTTAAGAATAAGAAAATACAAGTCATATATAAAATACTATTTTAAAGTTTACTTAATTAAACTCGGTTTATAAAAAAAATAAATTTTATGAATGAAAAGCCTGAATTTTAATTCTCACTCTTACTTTTCATTGCTCAGAATTTACAACAGGAAAAGCTGGCATCAAAAATGATAAAATCATCAGATTATGTGACAGATGATTGGAATACAACTTACAGTAAGTAAGTATAAATAAAAATAATTATTTTTCTTGCTTCTCTTTTCAAGAAAGACAAATGACCTATTAACACACATTTTCTTTAAATGCACTTAATAGCAAAGATAACATGGGTTGTTTTTCCTGGTTATGGATAAATGGAAAATAATGTGCAAGTCATTTTTTTCTATATAATAAATGTAAATGTCACAGTGTTACACTCTTCCAATTAAAGGGACACAACTCTCTAACGTTCAATAACTCATATTACAGAAATCTTGGATTCCCAAGTTTTCATTACTTGCAGTTGTTTTCGGCAATTTTTTTTTTTTTTTTTTTTTTTGTACAGTAACAAATTTTATAACTGGAAATAAATTTGGGAATAATTGGAATTAATTGCGAAATCCAGCTACGAAATAAAAATAATTATCATTGAACTTTTAAAAGGTAAGCTTAAATATTAATGCAATACTTGAATGCAGCGATCAATTTTCAGTTCTTCTGTAGTTTATTGCTGCCTAACGCATTACAGCAGTACTATGCCTCACAAAAAGAAATCTCATTACCAATACACCTCTTTGGTCCTTACTTGGACTGAGCAGGTGGTCACAGAGGCCTAATCTGATCAATCGGCTGGTTGAAGGGAAGAAACTTTGGTCATCATTCAAAAGTACCTCAAAAGTAAATATATAAAATATTTGAATTAGAATGTGACAGCTGTAGTATCAATCAATTTGAAAGGAAAGAATTATGATGCATTTTTAGATACACCAGATATTTCACTAGTTCTTGGGTAGTAAAGCCAAAGGAAAATCAAGGACTCCTAGTCTTCCTCCAAATATGAGTATACCGCTGTTGCAGCCCTGCCTTACCAAGGTGAATGCCTGTATTTCCCATTAAATTGGATTCTGTGGTGAGTGGCAAGTTTGGTGATGAAGTAATAAACTATTTTGATGGTTAAAAACAAAACCCACCAAGAGACCTCACATGGATACAGATTCCGAGAATGAAGAGAGGGGATCGTTTCCAAGATTATAAATTTTAGAATCACTAAATGAAACCCCACTAACGAAATTATCTCCCTTCCTTATTGAAAAAAAAATCATATCATCTAAAAAAAAAATGTCCCAATTTTGGTTGAGGTAGATAAGGAAAGATTAGTGGAGATAATACTGAAAATGTTGACACTTCACAATAAATAAATAAAAAAAATAGAGGTATACTCTCACAAAAAAAAAAAAATTTGCAGGGTGTGGTGCAAAGTAGGGAACTCTCCCTATGTACAATTGAAGAGATAAAAAAAAAAAATGAAACTGAAAAAGCAGGGAGTCACAGATGTTAGAAAAGTGAAAAACACACTGCATGTACCAGATTATGCAAGATTTGCCAGAAAGAGAAAGAAATAATGACTGCAAAACATACCAAAAGCATTTCTTTCTTTCTCTGAAGCATGTAAGATTGTAGAGGAGATATATGAAAGAAAAAAGTAATACACAAATCACAAACATTAATATGCAAAAAAATCATCAGAAATATGATAACCTAAGGAAAAGATTAATTCAACTGGGGCCAAAAGACTGGCCAAAATTTATAAATGAAATCGGGCCAAATCTGAATGAGAATAATGCAATGAAATATAATGAAACCAAAGTTAAAATAACAATGCGACCTGGAGCCTCCCTGCAGGTTATCTAAAAGTGACCAATGAAAAATAATTTAATAAGATAAAGATCTCCAATCTGCCCATCAACCCCCTCTGAAGAAAACGCTCTAACAAAAAACACAATTGAGAAATCAGTAACACTTCAGGGTCGATCCTGGTTCATGGCAAACAGCAACAAATGTAACTTTTCATCGTGGTCAACTCAGGGTGGGTTCTGGTTTAATCAATGGAGTAATCTCTTTGATCCTGACCTGCTTTACCCAACATTGTGATTGATTTGATTATAAGGAGGCCAAGATCAATTTGTTGCATGTATCTTCATGTTGGGCTGCTCTAAGTCAAGCAAAGTTATGCAATGAAATTGACAAAAAAAATAGCACTTGAAAATATATATAAAAATAATTACTATTTATATCGAATACTGCATACAATGGTTCATTAGTAGTTGTGTTTGCATACAGGTGTTTGTCGACCCAACCCATTCTTAAATTGGATGCAACATTTAGGTAAGCTGGTAAGTTTTGGCTTGCAGAATTAGCAAAATTTGTTTTACTGATTTGGTAAGTTTGGCTCAAGGCTAAAGTCAGAGGTTCTTGTGTTCAGCAGGAGTTGTGGAATCTCTCAGTGACCCCCACCGCTTCCCTTCTCTACTCTCAGTTGTCTGAATGGCTTTCTCGCATTCATTTTTATGGACCTGTACTAGAAACCGGTGCAGGACAAGATGTAGGTTGGCTTTCAGTGAACCCCCTGATTTCCAACAAGAGTTCATGAGAAATTAAATTTTTATAATTTTTAGGAAATCTCCTTCTCTCATGGGAGATGGGTGCAGGCATCGCTCCACCTGGTTACCTCTACTTTCTCTTATTACCATCTCCCACCAGTGCTTTCAAGTGGGTATGGGCAGCTCCTTCAACCTCCTTAATCTATCATCTGTGCCTGCTACCTTTCAGTGGGTGCAAGCAGCCCCTCCTCCTTCCTTGATCGCCCTCCTGCACCTGTCACCTCTGGCATTTGGTTGAAGACTAATTAAAAAAAAATTATGCTTCCAAACGCTATCATCTCATAAGTGAATTGACACAACAATTGGCTTTCTTGCCTTTGACCCAAGTGACACTTTCCCAGGGAAAATTTTGCAACACACATTATGGTGACAATTCATTCAGCCAAAGGTCAGTTTTCTGCAGGTGTTCAATTTATTGTTTTCCATCCTGCCATCTTTGTAAAATAAATTCAGTTGATTTAACCTAATTCTCCTTGTGTTGATCTAGGCATTGTTTGCCAAAGATTGTCAACCCTTAGCTTGTTTGCACAAACCAAGCATTGCTTTCAGCCGGTCACCAGGTCTATTGTATAAATCTTGAATCTCTGGGAATCAGTTATTATCAGTCTGTCATTCTTGATATTATTTTAACCTTTTTCATGCTAAGTTATTCATCATTATCTCATTTTCATTGATATTCCAAGTTGTTATTATTAATTACCAGCAACCCAAATAGTGTTACAAATCTTCCAAAGAAAATACAGCAATACGAAAAGTCAACAAACCAAAAACACTTTTGAAACCGAAAAATAGATTTAAAACTAGAAAAAATATACATGGACCCTAAAAACAAATCCAAAATATATTTGATTAATACAACATAAGCATATTTATATACAACTAAGCAAAATATAAAAACAATGACAAACAAAATAATACAATGGAACATAAGATGTGCCAAAAATAATATCAACAAATTATCTTCACCTCAACCTACAACCCAACAATTATGTTTACAAGGAACTCACCTGAAAGAAAGACACTCTCAACCATAAAATATTACTTATCCTACAATTTCATCAAACAAGCTGACAGTGACTCTGGAGGCTCATCAATAGTCATTAACACTACCATACCTCAAAGTGAAATAATACTGAATACAAACTTGCTGGCAGTAGCAATAATAGCTACCCTTCACAAAACAATGATTTTATGTTCCATATATATATATATATATATATATACCTCCCAATGAAATCCCTAATGAAACAGAATTACATAAATTAATAAATTTAAAAAATATAACCATATGGTTCCAAATGTTATCATCTCGTAATTGACACAATATTTTTTACTATTTTAAAAATAATAAAGTTTTTGACTTTTTAAATGCAAGGCTTTATTTGGAAAAAAAAAAAAAGTATTAAATTTCGGCATTAAATGACTCAAAGAGTTAATAGGCCATAAAACAAACAATTTTTAGAAATCAATTCCATTCAAATATACTATTATGCCGGTGCAGGAGATATAAAAAAAAATATGAAATAATGGCTGGCTGTTTAAAAATTTACTAGTTTCTTCAAAAGCAAGAGTTAACAGTTCTTCTTCAAAATCGATTGAAAACATCTAATGAGGTATTTCATCACTGATATTGACTTTGAAATTTGAATCACTTTTTGCATCTCACCAATAAATTGACAAATAAAAATTTTGATGTATTTATTTAATAATTTATGATGTATACTTTGTTTGCAATTATTGTCAACAATATTCTTTTCTGCCTTGCCTGTTTTTCTTAAGTCTCTTATTTGTATATTTTGCAACGTTTTTGTTGTAAAAGAAAAAAAACAAATTGATATATTTTCCAATGGATACACAAAATGTAAGATAACCTTTTAACTGTAATTGTACTGTTCTGAATATGTGTAAAATATTCAAAGTCTAATTTAAATAGGTAAGTAAAAGACCATTAACAAATCTCTTAATATCCATATCAAATTTTAAGCTCACTGAAAGTAGTTAGAAACAAGTGCATTAAAATATAAATTAGTTTTGTTTACCATATCATTTGATATTAGCCTTCAACCTGGCCAAAAAGGATATTTTTTTCTATGTTATATATAGCACAATAAGGTTGCTGTGTGCATGAAACACGGAAATGTAGCAAACAGTGAAGAGAAAATATATATTTATTATTAAGTGTGTGTGTGTATATATATATATATATATATATATATATATATAGTGTGTGTGTGTGTAGCATAAATATGATTACAAAAGGAAAAGTTCATAACTCCTGAAAAATTTATTATATCAGCATACAATTTTAACACGAGATAAGTAATAATCTGCTAAATAACACAAAATCTCTTTCAATATGGTTCCCTTTAGCCTTCACTACACATCAAAGTCCTCCAGGGAAAGTCATTGATGGCAATGCTCATAGTTTCCATGGGTATTTTGTCTCATACTCTCTTCAATTTTGTCTTCATAGCTTCAATATTGTAGTACAGAGTAGAACAGGCTCCACTCTCAGGAACTGGTAACAAACAATAGCCAAGAGCTTTGATATCTGGTGATAAGGGAAGCCATTCATCCTTTATGATGAACCAGGACAATTGTCTCTGCACCATTGCTGTGTTACATAAACAGTATGGTTTGTCACCCCATCTTGTTGAAGTGTCCAACATTCCTCACCATAAATGGCATTGCCCCACAACTTGAGGGCACCTTCCAAGATGACTGGTGACTTGTTGAAAAAACAATCATTTTGATGATTAAAAGTCTGTTCAACAGTGAACAATTTCTCATCAATGAAGATGTTTTGCAACATGCCATCATGAATCTGTTTGAATAAATGCTTCTTTCTTTGAAGTTTCTTTTTCATTGTAGTTGATGAAAGAAACTACTCTTGGCTATCTTATAAAGTGACATCCCAAGATCATTTTGACACAGCCTCCACATGGTTCTATCTGATGTTCCGACTTCTTTAGCCAATTTTCTCATTGACCTTCTTAAATTCTGGAAGTGCAGGAGTGTCCTGCTTTGGTTTATCTTCAATGGAGTCAGTCTCGTATCAATCAATTGTCCTTCTGATAAACATTTTATTGATTCCAAATTGTTTTCCAGCTTTAAAAATCTCAGGTGGAGTCAGCCCTTTTCCACAATGTTCAATTCTATACTTTCTTTTAACTTCTTTAGATATTGTTACCAGTAAATACTAAACCACTTTGTTAAAACAAATAATATACATATAATGAAAAAAGACAAAGATTTCTTTTTTGTTTAATGACATTTAAAATTAAAAGTTTTACTACATGCTACTATAATGTTAACAAAAAGTAAAAAAAAAAAAAAAATTTATTTCTACACACACTCATTGAACCCTCACATCTGAAACTGATTTCAAAGCTATGCACTTTAAAATATACTATTTAGGTTTCGTTAATCAGTTAACCAAGTTACCTCCCTTGCTTAACCATTATTAATTTTTGACTACTATTTATTTTTATCGTAATTTTTTGAAATTCGAACTCGCAATCCTTTTGCCTCGAGAGAAAATAAAGATGAATGTAAAAACATTAAAAACTAATAATGGCTGGCAATGCACGTCATATATAAAATGTCTTTTTTTTTTTTTTTCTTCTTCTTCCTCAGGGCCTTTAAAAATGCAGTCGAACTGAAAAAGCTTTTCAAAGAAGACTTATTAAAAGAGGTGATGCCTTCTCCATCTGCAAGCAAACAAGAGAGAAATCCCAGGTCTCCAAGAATTCCTTTCAATGATGATGATCCACTTCGAATACCAAGCCGACGTCGAGAAAGACAGCCAAGATGGTTAGTAGCACATTGTTTAGTTTCAAACAACTTTAGCCAAAAACAAATTTCATTATTCTGGGCTCCCACCCCATCCATCCCTCATTCTCAATATTAGGGCATGATATTTATATAATAAAATTTTGAATTTTTTAAATCCTTGAATAGGCATTTTAGGGAAATGCAAGTGACTACTTTTGCCATCTTTTACTTACACGCGTGTGTGTGTATGCATGCGCACATGTAATTTTATGTATATGTACACTCTTGAATATACACACATGGATGTTTGTATGCTCAGATTCCAACAATGAATTGATTTGGATTCATTACTGTTTTAACTGAGGATGGAAAGCGTGACACCAAAATCCGAAGAACCATTGAGATAGCAAAAGGTACCTTTCAAAAGCTAAGCGATGTATTAAGAAACGGGGGTGGGGAATATCATTAGAAACAAAGAAAACAGAACGTAACTGTTATGTAATATCAATCTTCCTATATGGCAGTGAATTGTGGGCAATCTCTTCACAGGTGAAGAAAAGATTTGAAGCAACAGAAATATGATTCTACAGAAGGATGCTGAGAATACCATGGACTGAATGTGAGCAAGTGCAATGTTTTAGAGAAAATAGACAAAAAGGACACTTATATTTAATATCAGAAAGAAACAGTTGAAATTTCTAGGGTATTTAATGAGGAAAGAGGGCTTGGAAATTTTGATACTCTCAAAAGGGCAAGAGGGACAGAGCAAAATATTACCTAATGAGCTTGTGTAAACAGATGCCAGAATAGGGTTTAGGAGAAATAGCAAAAACCTCAAATTTACTAAGAGCTACAAAGAATAGGAAGTTGTGGAAAGCCATGATCACCAACTGAAGGGATACAGCACATAAAAGAAGACTGCTCTGATAGATTCCATTGTCAGCTAAAATCTGTAATCCTGTTTTCAGAAGTCGACTCTTGTAACTCTCATACAGCTACCCTTCAAGGATGTTTTCAAATATATCATTATTTCCAGCCTTATAGGGCCTGCTCTTTTAAAAACAATAATCACTTACTCTCTGTCTTGTACATCAATGGTTAGGTCACTTGTATTACACTAACACCTAAGCACCATTTGACACAACATTGAAACACTGATTCCCATATGATCACATAAAGTTAAGCAACATCAAACCTGCTCAGTACCTAGATGGGTGACCACTTGGGAATACCAAGTGGTGTAATGGATAATGGTTTAAAATTGTTAATCAGAGAACCAAGTTCCAATTGATGTTAGGTTTATCAAATTCACTTATGTGCAAATACCCTTCTCTCCCTCCCAGCTATAGGTTAATTCGTAAGACTTGTATCACTAAAACTATTATTATCTCAAAAAGAAATTCTTACAATTTAAAAAAAATAATTTCCTGGCTTCAAATAACCAACCCTGCAAAGGGTTGAGAAGCTATAGAAAATGAATCAATCAACCAACACTAAACCACTGATGAGCTCCTTGTAACTTATTAAATTAGAACTAAAAATGCTTTTACATATATAATTTTTGATTTGTATTTCTATATAAGTACCTCCAAAGATTCACTAAAATATATAAAAAAAAAATTAAAAAAAAATGACTCAAACTTAATTAAAAAAAAAAAACGTTTATTTTTGAGAGAAAAGACCAAAGGATTTTTTTATCCTTTTTTAGAACTTTCGAAATTTTGGATAAAAATTGTTTTTCTTGTATCAGCAGATGATCATTAATGGATACCCATATTTGAAACAGATGCCCCATTTTTATTTTAAACAGTGGGCATTACATCTGTCAGCCCACACAATCAAGAAATTTTAATAAAGAAAATGTACTCTCAACAGGTTTCAAACCTGTATCCCCCATTGTAGGAGAAACCATGATTCGATCTGGTGTGTATTAGACCACTTGACTGGATCAAACAGTTGTGTCTCCTAAAAAGTGGGACACAGGCTTGAACTAGGCCAGAGAGCACAACCGATGTCTAACTGACTCTCTTGTTTACCTAAGTACTATTTCTACTATCGAAGATCTAACAGTTAAAAAAAAATTTTTATTGGGAGTATCAAGAATTCTTTTAAAACTACGTGGTATCAACATATATTATTTTTCACCAATATCACTTATAAAAATATGACATCCCTTTCTAAATATTTTGGAACTTAAAAGAAGTTAAAAAAAAAAAAAAAAAAAAACCCTATGGTAAAATGGAAAATAGTAAAAAAGCTAGAACCTGTAAATCTTTAAATGAACCTTGCTTCTTATGCTTACATGTAAAACTAGAAATTATCTAATTTGCTAACAAAAAATATCCGTTAAACCAAAAAAAGTGAATTAACTGTTAACTGCCAACAAAATTTACCTTTTACCTTATAATATAGTTAAATTTTAGAAATTAGGTAGTACCATTTCTTATAGCCATAATTATAAGTAAATGGTCCTCTACAAGTAATTATCTTTGTTTATTCAGATTTAGTATTGTTATGTATTGCTGTCTAGTTATATTGTTAATATCTTGTATAGATGTTCCATATTTTTAATTTTATCTACAGGTTCCTTTAAGAAGCTTCCTGAATCTGAAAACCCCTCCCCTCAACATCCTTTGAAAAATTGAACATGTCATATTTGTCTACAATCACAATACATTTGTTGCTTACTTTTTTTCCGCAATTGTCAGTGTTCACCTGTCTAAGTTCTGGTTTATCATGTCATGAAAAAAATAACTCCTCCACCTCTCTGCTTAATTTTCTATTTAGTATAGATCTGACTTTTAATTGGTGGATCAAGGCAAACCCACAAGTCTATTTTTAATACTGGGCTTGTGTTTTCTTACTTCCCCTTTATCTTTTGGAAAAGAGGTAACACTTTGCTTTTGAAATTTTCTTAAAAATCATTTAATCACCAGTTACTTACCATCCATCACCTGAAGAGGCAAAACTTGCCAAAACATGTAAACTATTGTGTAGTGATTTCAACATGTTTTTGTTATAATATCTTTATAATAAAATTTATATATATATATATATATATATATATATATATATATATATATATGGATTTTTTTCTCAGGGAACCTGTTGACCCTTTTGAAATTGGAAGAGCTGATTTGGACCCATTTGCTGATGGAGGTGGTGGTATGATTTTTGATCCTCTCACGTACAAGCCGGACTCGACCGGTACCAGGATATTTACCGAGGTTAGTAATTAGTGATTATTTTTCTTTTTGTTTTTCTCTCTCTTTCTCGCTGATTACAAAGGCAGTATTTTTATCTTTTTCTTCTCTTAGTATCTACCTTGAATTTTAAATAAAAAGAATTTAAAACTCTATTAAAAATATTAAACCAGTAAAATAACAAACTAAGCATGAAAACAGAATTATTAAATTTATATATAAGTTTTAAATCTTTTATTTACATAAAATTGCTTTGACTATCATAATCCAGAATGCAATTATTTTAATGGTGTCAATAACTCTAGAAAGAGTTAGATCTTGTCATCTGGATATACCAAACGCTAAAGCCATCACATAATATAGCCAAAGTTGTAATGAAGGCTAACAAGATTCAAGGTGTCATCAACAGGACCTACTTGAACAAGAAACAGAAAATATCATCATGCTGTAAAAATCACTTGTACGACCAATCCAAGAATATGCCCACCAGGTCTGTCTTATCAAAAATATTCAAAAGCTTAGAGCAATTCAGAGGTCAGCCAATAAAATGGTAGATGGCTTTCATAAGTATACTTACCATTAAAGATTGGATTTGTGCAACCTTATCCAGTCGAATCTATTACATTCACTTACCCTTGGGAAAGGCATGAATCCTCTTCTTCTCCCCCCAGCTCTGGGTAAATAGCAGGATAGACCAGGTTCTATAGCCTTGGATGGCAACTGATCTATTGCAGAAAGAAATGGCAACCTACTGTGGGTGGTAAAATATCTGCCTCATCAGTCATGTATCGAAAGATACATGATCGCCTAAGTGTGTATCACGTCTGGCACATAACTGACTGTAACCTTATTCTTAGAAGATAGAAGAAATCAAGGTGATCAGATTGAAACCCACAAGATTTTGAATGGATTTACAGATATTGATTACAGAAAGTTGAGCTTAGAGACAACAGTGAATCTTTTGAGATGACATGGTAAAACTTTAATCAAGTATTATAGAAAACATGCTTGTTTCATTACATCTCTCAGAGTCATTAACAATTGAAATGAATTTAAAAATAAAGCAGTTTGTGCAAAAATTGAAATTTGAATATATGCTTGAAGAAACAAAATATGGAACAATCAAAAGCAGACTACACATTGGCCAATGAGGTATTGTAATTATTTACATTATTCAGACTGTTGTCCTCATCTTTGTCATCTTCACAACATTTCAGCCATTGTACACTCCAGTCTTCTTCCAGTGATTGGAATTTCAAACGGAACCCTTTATTTTCTTCACTGGAGTAGATCATTCTAGTTCCACGTGCCATGCCTCTTCCGGATGTCTGTTATCACCCTTTAATTCAACTCTCCAAGTTTTGTTCACCACTGCCGTAGCCAGGTATTGAACTCACAAATCTTTGGGTCAAGTCACTGGATTCAACCAACACTTTTATCTACTGGGCCATATGTCCTTAATTTTTATGGTAAAAAAAATCCATAGCATTATTCTTCAGTCACCAATGTGTTTCTCCTGGTTTTCTTATGACAACTTTTAAGTAAGCTGTACATTCCTTCATCAAAGAAAAATTCTAATTTTGATTAGATGAATTCTTCAAGAACCCATTTTGATATTTTGTTGAAACCACTGATGACCAGACAATGAATGTTGCAGGAAGCAAAACAGTTGAAAGTAACAAAGTCTGGAGAATATGCTGTTGGAGATCCATCTACTCAGATTCTAGTTGCTGAGTGTCAGGATTCCAAACCTTTAACAACAACACCTCTTTTAACTGAAACCTAAAAAAAAGATTATTTGCTGAAAAAAAAGTAGAAGCAGAACATCAGTTGAAATAACATAATCTTTTCAGAAATATACAACAGCAATAAAATATTCAATTTTCCTTGCCGTGAAATATGTTTATAAGTAACTAAATGTTCTTAGAGTGGTGGAAATTTATGAACTGACTTGCTTTAAGACAATCAGCCTAATGTGTTTGTGAGTTCATAGACAAAGGCTTAGTAGGTAGTTGCTGGTTAATACCTTCTGTTGTGTGCATGAACATGGCTTTAGTTAGCAGCTGTTGGTTTTGGTCTGTTCCATTGTGTGGGCATATGTGTACACACATGTTGATCAAACTGGCCTCCCAAACTTGTTTGAACCTTGAGAAGCAATATGCTTCTATTTTTATATCCATAAGCGGATTCAAAATAGAGGTGTGAAATTTTTGAATATAAGGTTTTCATTGGTTAGAAAATAATTTTACACACTCACAAAAATCTTTCTCAAATTTGCAGGAGTGGTGTAGGCAATTATTATTATTTTCTAAATGGCCCAAAAATGGCACGTGGTAGATCTAAAACTGAATCTGCAAGAATTTTGGCAGTATTTGTCCTTGTAATTATTATTTATCCAATAAACTTTCTGATGGCACTCTATTGCTGAAAAATATATATAGGATTTAATTCCTATAATACCATCTGTGGCTAGAATTTGCAATTCCAGCTCTATTTTTGTAGTAACAAAAATAGTAGCATACCTCACTAACTGAAGCGCCCTATTGTATATATTCTCTACCAAAAATGTTTGTAAAATGTAGACTTTGTTTCAAGCTCTCTTTCATAGAGAGCTCAGCAACTTATGTAACACATCCTGGGTAAGACGATAAATTACATTCAACAGCAAGGCCTCTGATCAGAAGGCTTTGAGGAGCATGGAACCTTAATTGCTGGTGTTCTCAGGTCCCCCCTGACCTGGGGTGTATGCACCTGTTAGGGTCCCAGCTATGGATAAATAGTTAAGCCCCAAACTGGAGTCAAGACATTAGGAAAGTGTAAAAATAGGTTTTAGTACCAAAAATACTTTTACCAGCAATAAATTTTTGAGGGTAAATTATTACCAACAATACATTTTTGAAAAAAAAAAAAAAAAAAAAAAAATATTACCAGCAATAAAAATCTTGTCTGTATTAAATAACCCATTGAGGTTGATATGCCACAAAGCAAAACAAAACAAACTATACATTTTTTTTTCTTTTTAAAAAAAAAAAAAATTTAAAAAAATTAAAAATTTTCAGCTATACATTTTTGAAAAAAAATATTGCCAGCAATAAAAATTGTCAGCATCCATCCTAAGTATGACGTTAAAGTACATCCGACAGCCAAGCCTCTGAACGGGTGGTTTTGAGGAGCGTGGAACCACCGCTTAATTGCTGGTGTTCCCAGGTTCACCCTCACCTGAAGTGGTAGCACCTGTCAGGGTCCCAGTTCTGGGCAAATAGTTAACCCCCCTAAGCTGGGGTCAAAATACTATAAAAGTGTAAAATATGTTTTAATACCTGAAATATTTGTAAAAAAATTATTACCAGCAATAAATTTTTGAAGAAAAAATTATTTCCAGTGATACATTTTTAAAAAAAATATTGCCAGCAATAAAATTTTGTCTGCATTCAATAGCCCATTGAGGTTGATATGCCATAGAACAAACCGAACCAAACCAACTTATTATGTAAATGTTTATTTGACCAATCATGGTCATCTTGACTGTGTATAAGCTCCTGATTTTGAGTGACCATGGACTATTTGGCTACAGTTAGAGGTGCTGGGAATGTCCTCATAATTAAGGCACTTCTCTGCAGTGCTTCCAATGCCAAAAGAGCATACAACCAATACCAGAGGAGAAGAAAAAAGACAGGAAGAAGCAGCTGGACAAAAACAGAAACCCATGCTTATGAAAATTGAAGAACTGAAGACCAAAAAACACAAGCTTTGCTCAAGTCAGCTGACAGCTATGTGGAGAAAGCTGAACAGATTCAGAACTTCACAATTATCACAAAGTCCAATGCCATGTGAAAATCTGCAAAGGACAAGTCCATAGAGATATCAAAATTGGAAGAGAAGTTGAATGCTAAACTAGATGAACTTTGTTTTGTACCATGTGCGAAAGTCATTAATAGTAGGGGTAGCTAAAATGTGTAGTCATTTTTGTGAAATCTTCTATTTGTAGTTTTGTTCATTAAAACCATTATACTTCACAGGAAATGTGCAACAGTCAAGAATTTTTGTGACATTCACAAACCATGAGTAATCTAGATAACTGAAATGTGTAGTACTAAGAATTAAAGTGTGCATTTCAAAATTTCCAAGTGTAGTAGAACTCAAAACTGCATAGAATGTTACACAATATATGTAACATAACCAAGTCTGCATTCAGTTATGTTTTAGCCTTCAACACTTGGATTTCTTCAATGTTTTCAACTGATCCATGGGACATGAATTATTGGAACCAGCTGTAGCTTTTCTTTGAACATCTCATCAGTCAAACTATTAAAAGATAAATCACAAAGTTTCTGCTTTAGAAATTGATGACCATTCACTTTGTGTGTGTGTGTGCACCAGTTTCAGTCCTTGAAACTTTTTAACATAGTGCTGAATTTGTGCGAATCTTATCATAAATTAAGTTGGAAAATAAGGAATAATTTAAAAAATCTAAAAACACAGAACATTTAGTTCCAATATGAGGCAAGAAATTGTAAATAAAAAATTTTTTTATGAAGACTTTTTTGATCATGAATCGTAAAGTGCTGATATTTATTCATAAAAATGAATGGACAGAGCAGAATTCTTAAAGACTGCTAAGTCACTCTGAGCCTTAAAATTAATTAATGAGAACATTTCCACTTAAGATTACTCCAAGTGATTTAACCAAAATGTTTAAATAAGAATAAGGTTGTAATTTTTGTAAAAATTACAGTAAAATTTATCTGTTTTTGCATTTTTTTGTCATCTAAAGTGCTCTAAATGATATACCCATTGGTGAATAGTCCAAAATCATCAAGGCCCCTGGCAACATGCCATGTTCTAGTCTTGCACTTGTTCAGGCCATTGTACTAAGGTTGAAGGGTCCTCATCCTGAGTATGCCAGATAAACTATATCCAACAGCAAGGCCTCTGATCAGGAGATTTTGAGGAGCATGGAACCACCTCTTAATTGCTATTGTTCCCAGGTCCACCCTGATCTGGGGTGGCAGCACCTGTTAGGGTCCTAGCTATGGGCAAATAGTGAACCCCAAAACTAGGGTCAAAACATTATGAAAGTATAAAAATACATTTTTGTAGTAAGAATACCAGCAATACATTTTCATAGTAAAGCAAATTACCAGCAAAACATTATTGGAAAAGGAAGAGAAAAATTACCAGCAATACATTTTTTAAAAAAGAAATTATCAAAGCTCCCAAGAAAATTAAATTTCGACATTAAATGACTCATGAGGAGTTGATATGCCATCAAACAAACCAAAGAATCAATTATTTTCTGTCACTGCTCAAAATATGGGTATCAGTTACTTTCTTTGAGATGACATGTGAGGTGGATTTGTTTTTTAAGTCACCTTCTTTTAGCCTTTGCCTAAAGAAGCATGACCTACAATGCAGCAGGTGGTTTGAATTCAGTTTTCCAAAACCTAGACTGGCTGCCAACCAAGCATATAGGCCCCAGTCTGTCCTGCAATCATAGCAGTGGGAAAGAGAGGAATACATAACTTTCTCAAAGCTATTAGCACGTAAGTGAATGTAAGGAATTTGAACTCGGATCTCCAATTCCTCAATCCAAGCTGCCATTTTCCACCATGCCACCACAGTTTTTGCATTTATTCATTTTTAAAACTTTAATAATTTGTGTGTTTTTTTTTTGTTTTGTTTTTTTAACAACCTGTATGACTTGCATTAAAAACAATTAAAGATGGTTGAAAATATATATTTATTTCCTAAATATTTTAATGGTATACTTATTCTGCAACTAACCCCATTGTCTGCAGTGTTGCTCATTTTCATTTCATTGATCTGTCATCCCCTAACCCTGTACTACCAAAAAGTAGTATTCTTGGTATCATCAATTGGCTGTGTTTTTATCTTCATAGCCATTGCAAGCTGGGAAGCAACCAGCTACTGGTCTTATATCCCTCATGCAGTAAAACGTTGAACCAGGATTACAAATGAATAACAAAGTTAAAAAGAACACTATGTACATTTTGGAATAGTTTTAAATTATTTCAGAATGATTAAGGTTGTTTTCTAGAACAGTTCTGAAATAATGGTGGGAAAATTTGGTCTATGCTCATTTGTAAAATTTAGGTTTTATTTTATTTTTTTATTTTTTTTCATTTAATAACAATTTTATCTTGACAGGTTTTATGGAATTGAACAGAGCTGCTTTGTTTTTTACTTTCAGGGGTTTTAAGCTTGTAGAACCATAACCTATTTTTTTTCTCTTGCAGAGGTGCCATTCCTCCAGGTGCCAGGTATGATCCAATAGGACCTGGAGGACCCCGAGGCGGGTAGGTTTTCTTTGTCCTTCTGTCTCTCTCTCTTTGTCCTTCTGTCTCTCTCTCTTTGTCCTTCTGTCTCTCTCTCTTTGTCCTTCTCTCTCTTTGTCCTTCTCTCTCTTTGTCCTTCTGTCTCTCTTTGTCCTTCTGTCTCTTTGTCCTTCTGTCTCTCTGTCCTTCTGTCTCTTTGTCCTTCTGTCTCTCTGTCCTTCTGTCTCTCTGTCCTTCTGTCTCTCTCTCTTTGTCCTCCTCTCTCTCTTTCTCCTTCCCTCATATATATATATATATATATATATATATATATATATTTATCTATATACTTAGGTTGTAATTAGATTTTTATCTAATTACAACCTACATTTAAGTCTCATTAATTCTGTCATCACTAATTACTTTACAATAATGATTCTATCAATATTCAAAATTTTACTTTTGTCACAAAATAACAATAAACCTTGACAAGCAAAGGAACAAACTTTAAATTTTCAGGAATCATTCAATTAATGATTCTCTTAATTTTTTTTTTTTTTTTTTGTTGCTACAAGATTTCAGCTGATCCAGTTGTAATTTTTTTAAATATTGTTGTAACAACAAAAAAGAGATTGAAAATTTTAATAATTCTTGTAATGACAATGGCTCATCTAAATTATAGAAGGGCGATCAAATTTTCCTTAATGCAGTCGTCCATTCTTACAAAAATAAACAATTTGTTAAGTTTTATGCAATAATGGTTCCAAAGAGTAGTGTTGCTGACCATTCCAACATGCCAAAGAGAAAATAAATGCCATTTCTAAGTAAAGAGAGTGAAAGTTGTTGATTTCATGGGACAAGAAAATCATATATTGAAGTTGGTAAGATGCATAATAAAAATGTTTCTTTTCAACATCATATAACTTTTATTATAATAGTAGCATAATACCCATCAAAAATTATGGTATTAGTTATGTATGGATCAGTACTTCTGACTAAAGTATGTGTGAAAAGTATCATATAATAGATTTTTTTTCTAAAGAAATAATGGATTTTTATCTATTAATCCAACAGATTTTATCATTTTAAACATTATTTTTTAGTGGATACTCATATTTGAGTAGGTGCTCTATTTATTAAACAGTATATTTACTTTAGTCTACCAGACTGGATATTCAAGAAATAATAAAAAAAAATGTACTCTCCGGCATGATTCAAACCTGTGTACCCCTGGGCAGAGGGAACCTTCATTAGATCCAACCTGTTCAAGACCAACTAAGCTACATATTACTTAGCCAATCAGGCAAGGTTAGATAGTGCTTTTGAGTATGATTCCTCTCATCAGAGACTTCTCAAAATTTTCATATCTGCTCAGTTTCATATCTAAATGTAAACAAAGCAATTTTCTAAAGAAGTAATGGATTTTTATTTATTAATCTGACATAGTTTATCACTTTAAGTGTTATTTTTAGTGGATACTTGTGTGTGTGTGTGTGTGTGAGTGAGTGAGTGAGAGAGAGGGAGAGACTAAAGAGAAAATCCCCTGCCTATGAAGAAGAGTTTATGTCTTGTGCATGGTCTGCCAAAGGAAAATTAAAGAAAATTGTTAGCAGAAAAAAGCTGCTACTTTAAATATCGGAGAAACTATGCTAATGTTCTTTCCTCCATAGCATGGCCAGTCAGAAAAATCACTCAGTAAATAAAGGCCGTTGCTTTTTAGCTTACTGACAGAACAATTTTGAGCTTGGTGACAGTGTGTTACTGCTGTTGCAAAGGAAACGTTGGATTTCTAACCCCGATTCGTTACTATATTGCCTGCTGCAGTGTTTACAACAGATTTGTGATTGAACTTAGTTTTGGCACACAGATTTTTTTTGTTTCTACCCACCCCATTGATTGATACCCAAATATATATATATATATATATATATATATATATATTTATTTATTTTATTACTTTTTTTTTTTTTTTAATTAATGGATTCAATTTTAAATTTTTTTTAATCCAGCATTTTTATTACTTCAAATGTTATTACCCTGGCTAATTTGTATGTGAAATAGGGACCCCATTTTTATATATTTATTAAATTGTGTATATGAAAAATGCTAGCAGAAAAAAAATGCATTCCCCAGCAGGGATTGAACCTCTCTCCCTCTTTGTAGTGGAAACCACTGTTTGATCCAGTGTGCTTTAAAGATAACAATATTTTTGTTCTCAATATCCAAAAATAGACAGTTAATAAAGACAAGTTAAAAAAAATCTGTAAAATTTTATTTTGAATAGATAAGTCTTTTTTTTTTTTTTCCTTTGTTTATTAACTTATATATATATATATATATATATATATATATATATATATATATATATCAATAAAATGTGCATCAAGTATTTTCTTTAAATTAATATAAAAATATCAAAAATGAGAAAAACAACTGTCAATTACTGCAACCTCCCAATTCAGCTATGAAACTGGAATTGAGGTGCAGAAAGTAACAAATTTTATATTTATAGTATCCCAATGTATGTATATGTATGTAATCACCCAGTGAATGCTGATGATAATAAAACTGGGCTCAATGTATAATAGTCAAGTCAAGGGCCAGAGATTTGATTATAATGCTGCAGGTTTCCCAGTGACTGGAGTAGGCCATATTTGGCTCACTATCACTCCTTTGCAAGCACCCCTGTCAAGCAGGCTGCAGGCCAGGCAGCACTACTGGCAGTCCTTCCACATCTTCCTAGGCCTACCTCAACCTCTGTAAGCAGAAATCCTGAACTCCGAGACAGTTCTGATGCATGATGATGCTTGTAGGATGTGACCAAACCACCCAAGACGACAGGTGCACAACACTGATGTTATATCCTCAATACCAAGCCTTGTTAACAACTTAGAAAAGGGTGTTTGATACTGAATATAATAATAGGGCTAAAGTAATAATTTTAGTACTAATAATATATATATTGTTCACTTATCTGTCTTCTGATAGGTTTATGGAGGTTGTATCCACTTGTCAGAAGTCTTGATAGTAAAAATTGAATTTATTAAGAATAATAATATTTTTTTTCTTTTTTATTACTTCTCCATTATGAAGTGTATTCATTAATGTATTTGGGGGTTCATCTTATCAGTAATGCATGAATTTAAGGTCAGGAAATAGTATCTGAAAAAAAAAAAAAATCCTGTTTAATTAGAATTTTATTCATTGACATGTTTTCCATCATTATCCCCATGATTTACAAAATGGATTTTATGGTTTTTGTAAAAGTCTATTAGAAAGGAAATAAAATGCAGTGAGAATAGTTTCCACCTATCTGTCTATATTTCCGAGATGAGGTATTGTAACTATTTACATTGTTTGGGCTATTGTCCTCGTCTTTATTGTCATATTCACAACGTTTCATCCATTGCATGTTCTGGCTTTCCTCAGGTGATATACATTGAAATCCTTTATTTAGTCCATTGTTCTAATTCCAGGCATTGAACTCCCAACTCTTGGGTGCCCGGTCGGTGGGGCATCAGAATACGCTGACTGCCCCCCTGCAGAGGGTAAAAGTCCCTCAATGGGGCCACCTGTTGGCCGTGGGTGGCGACCCTTAATGTCTGGGGACGGGATCCTGGTGGTTGAGCAGGTTGTAACCCAGGTGTAAAGCAGTCACAATCCTGTAACACACCACTTTGGCCCTTACCTGGGCTAGACGGGCGGTCGGAGGGGCCCGATCCGATCAATCGGCTGGTCATGTCAAGCCCCATCATATATAATCCACCCCAAACCTATAACTGACACTCCTCTTCCCAACCAAAACTAACACTTAACCCTAAATATGTGATGGAAGGCAGTGGCTAAGGGTCAATCAATTTGGGAGAAAAAAAGGGTCTGACACACCTGCTAAACCTTCACAGCCGTAATACTTGGATAACGGAAACAAAGGAACACGCGTGCTCAAAGACTCCTCCCAAAGAGAGTATATCATTCACGTAGCCCCGACATGGCAAGGCAAATGGGTTTCCCCCTTGTCATGTCCCAATACTGGACTCTGCGGTGGGTAGGGAGCGTGAATGATGAACAAAAATAAAAACATTCAATGGAAAAAAAGAAATCTTCCAAGAGACCACATGTGGATAACGACTCGGAAACAGAAAATGATAGTGAAAACTTTCCACGATTTATTGTACTCGAAGCAATAAGCAAAAAAGCACTAACAGAAATATCTCCATTTAAAATACAAAAAGCAATATCAAATATCGTCATACCAAAAAATGTAAAAAACTACAAAATGGAACATTACTAGTGGAAGAAAAGATATATGCGGACACACTAATAAGACAAAAAAAAAACTACAAGAAATAGAAATAAAATCCTACCCACACCAAACCCTAAATTTCTCAAAGGGTGTAGTAAAAAGCAAGGAGCTCTCCCTGTGCACTCTAGAGGAGATAAAAATAGAACTCCAAACTCAAGGTGTTACAAATGTCAAAAGAATAACAATAAAGAAAAATGAAGCAGAGATACAAACTAATACCTACATTATAACTTTCAACTCCCCCCAAATTCCGACAACAATTAAAATTGGATATGAAAGTATAAAAGTAGAACAATACATACCAAACCCTCTTCAATGCTATAGATGCCACAAATTTGGGCATCACAGAGATTCCTGTCAAAACAAAAAAACACATGGAAAATGTAGTGAGAAAGAACCAGAACATAAAGAAGAGAACTGCCCAAATGAGAGCCTATGCTCAAACTGTTTGGGAAATCACTCTGCCCTCTCAAAACAATGCAGTATCTATAAACAGGAAAAAGAAATAATCAGAATAAAATACAAAAAAAATATATCTTTCTCAGAAGCACGAAAGAAAGTTAAAAATAACATAAAAGAAAACACCTATGCTTCCATGGTACAAAAAGCAAATAAAATAAACAATGAAGATAAAATAAAAGGTTCAACTGAAATAACAAATTTATGTGAGGAATTAAAAGCTTTCCTTGAAGAATTAAAAACCTTTTTAATCGAACTTAAATTGGATCAAAATAAAACT